AGACAATATATAATGCTCGTCACAGACATAAAATGCTTGAGAAAGCTGGAAGATCACAAATGCAGCAACTTATGAAAAGATTGAGTGATTTTGGCTATGTGGAATGGCATAGGAGAAACGAGTCAACTGACTGTGTAAGAGACTTGTTTTGGGCGCACCCATTTTCTATAGATATTTTAAATGCCTTTCCGTTGGTTTTACTTATGGATTGTACTTACAAAACAAATCGATATGGTCTTCAGCTATTAGAGATTGTAGGTGTGACATGCACAGACCTTACTTTTTCAGTAGCTTTCGTCTACATGGAAGCAGAGCGTGAAGATAACTACACATGGGCAATGGAAAAATTAAAAACATTGATGACATCAAGTATCATGCCTAGTGTTATTGTGACCGATAGAGACTTGGCGTTTATGAAATCTATTAAGAAAGTCTTTCCTGAAACAACAAATCTTTTATGTAGATTTCATATCACAAAAAATGTCCTAGCCCATTCAAGAAAGTTGTTTGAACTCAAAGAGGATTGTGATAAATTCTTGGTAGCCTGGGGTGTTCTTGTATTCTCTACAAACGAGAGTGAGTATGCTACAAACTTATTTGCTATTAAAAGTAACTACGAAGGTTATCCAAGTCTTCTCAAGTATGTGAGGGATACATGGTTACTTCCATATAAAGAGAGATTTGTAGCAGCTTGGACCGACAAAGTTATGCACTTCGGTAATTTGACAACGAATAGGTATTATTACCATGCTCTAAACTATTTTAAGAGTTTTACAATGTTTTTAAATACATTGAACTTATACTATTATTCTCTCACTTGTGCAGAGCCGAGAGTGCACATGCAAAGTTAAAAACATGGCTTGGGTCAAGTCAACTAGATTTTGATTGTTCTTGGAACCTAATCAACTCTTTACTTGAGTTGCAACACACTGAAATCAAAGCTTCATTCCAACACAGTTTGAATGTGGTGGAGCATAATTTCACGCCTTCATTGTTTAGAAAGTTGAGAGGATTAGTTTCTAGAAAAGCACGAAATCTGATTCTCACAGAGTCCAAAAGAGTAAACAAAAGTGAGGGTGACACTGACTTATGTGGGTGTGTCATTAGAATCACTCACGGATTGCCTTGTGCACATGAAATTGCTAAACATGTTATACATTGTAGCCCCATTCCTCTTTCAGATATTCACCCTCATTGGATGCATTTAAACTTGAAAAAATATAAGAACATTGAAAATGTGGCTGAGGTGAGTATTGATTTTGAGATGAACTCATTATGGTCAAGATTTTATGCTTCTAATCATACAGGAAAGTTGGCGTTGAAAAGAAAGTTAAGAGAACTAGGTGACCCGACAACAACATTCCTTACCCCACCATCTGAGAAACCTAAAACGAAGGGTCGTCCTTCATTGAAGGCAACAGAATCAACTCGGCGTGACCCATCGTACTTCGAAATTGTTGAATCGGAGGTATCAAGACAGGATGCTGAAGTACGAGAAAATCTTGTTGTAGCTCAAAAGAAGAAGAATGTTGTTGTAAAAAGATCCAAATCTCTTAAAAACAATTGGATTCTTTTCCATCATATTTACATTCATATATCTTAGACATAAATGATGTCAAACCAGATGGTCATTGTGGTTTTCGTGCCATTTCTGCTTTATTGGGTTATGGAGAGGATAATTGGTCAAAGATACGTGAAGACTTAATTGAAGAACTATGCAATCACAGGTCATATTATGTTAAATTTTGTGAATCAATGGACCTTGTTGCTGAATTTCTTGATGAACTGTCATGTTTCATAGTTCCAGCCCCATACAAGAACTGTATGACTTTACCAGACATGGGTCATTTGGTTTCATCTAAATATAATGTGGTGCTAGTCTATCTTTCAAAACAAACATGTAACACATTTCTCCCTCTTCGATCTACTCCACTAACACAACAACATCATAAAATCTTGGTGATTGGATTTGTAAATAACAATCACTATGTCCAGGTACGTACTCATTGGGTACTTTACATGTAAACATTCATATTACATCTTGATAGTTAACCTTGATTCCTTTAAAATGCATTGTAGGTTTCTCTCGATCCTAATGCGCCAATACCTCCCATTGTTCCTAATTGGAAACAATTTCGGCTTGATTCTGCTATAGGATGGGATACCCCATATTTATCTCGTATTAAGGAGTTCAATGACATTCTATCTGCACAACCGAATGTGCGCAGGGATAAACTTATTATCTTAGATGAGTCATAGTATGTGATATATTATTCTTTTATGATTAATCTACAATTGACGGGAGAATCCCAATTCCCACTTAACTAATTAATCTACATTTATTTTTCAGGTTGAGAAGGTAATGTGTCACGAGGACAAGTTTGGAATAGCACTGGAAGAAGATAGAACTAATGGAATTTTAGTAGTTGAAACATATGCATATTCAAATTAGAAACGTAGAGGCAAATTCATTTGTTCAAGGTTTCAATTCTGAACAAAAAAACTTGTTCGTGAAATCCAAGTGTATTCAATTTTTTTATTAATAATATTTATCAACCTCAAAAAATTGGGGTATGTATGCTTTGGTGTTTTCATTACTTACTTCTTCACTCCTTTTTTAATCATATTCTAATTTTACTAAGGTTGTGTAGCTTGTATGAGGATCTAATTTTCCAAAGATTTAATCTGCATTGAGTAACACATAATTATATAAAAATTCAGATAGTGAATCTGTAATGTGTTGTTACAATGAAAATGGAAATTAATGAAAAATAGGATTCACGCTAGTTTAAATAGCAATTTGCATAGAGTAAAAGGAGAACTCTCAAGACAGAACATACCAGTACATTGGTCTTTGCACCACTGCTAGCCTTTTCTTTCTCAGCAACAAAGCTCTTTGTTAATATATGTCAAACCACGAACTCTACCAGTTTTCCTATATCATAATTTCAACGTTTAGCAAAGATCTGTATACCAAGAACTAAGACAGAATCTAAAATAAAAGGCCCATGTTCAGTGTAACAAACTACCGGAAGCAACTTTAGCACTTCTATGATTTTACACATCAATTTTTACTTACATCAAACAAATTTCAACAACTAATTTGATATATACTATGCTCTGATTGTGCACAAGACCTGTATGATAAAGCCCCCATTTAAGACTAGATAATCTAATTGAGATGATTAAGACCACCTGATTCCAAAAAAATATTAATATTAAAAGTTAAAACCACTCCATAACTAGAGTAATGATGAGTTCCAAGCTATCAAATAAAAGGAATCAGACTTTATGAGCTGAGAATAACACTACAATTTAAATCTCGGGAATTAAAACTATTTCAGTTTCCATGAAAGATTCGCAAGGGTAAATATAAACTTACTTGAACATGATATGAACTAGTAAGCATCGTAGAGCAGCAACGCATCAGTATAAAAATCTGGGTCATGAGAAGGTGCTCAGATCTATTCATACTCTCTGATGATCTTTTTCTTCTCATGCCTTGACCTCCAAGTGGAGGTGGAGCATCTTTTCCAGGGGGAAGCAACAACCTCATAGCCTGATTATGTCTAGTCTTCAGCTCCAAACCTTGAAAGGCATCATGTAGTTGATTATTAACAGAGAATAAAATCTTCTGCATCATCAAGAACCAGGTATCTGCATCTCCCTCGTATGATGGCCTTAGCTGAGACATGGCTGGACAGGAACACGGTGGCGATTTGACTCTCGATGCTATGGTAGACGACGACGGTGATGAGCTAACGGCGAGATAGATTTAGATCGGAAACATGGAGGAAGACGAGCGAAGGCCGATCAAAGTCCGATCCAGTAAGGAATGGGAGGAAGAAGAAGGGACGCAGAAAATGAGTGGACTCCAGCTAGCTCCTATTTCAGGATCGAGAATGGGGACTGTCTGTAATCAGGAATGGATGGATGGCTGTGTATACTTGATTAAGGGCAAAAGAGATATTTACAAATAATTATTATTTAATTAATTTAATTGGTGGCTGTGTTTAGCCATTTTGGGGCTGCAAATAGAACGGCCCTAATCAAAGTAACCAAAGCTGGACTGGCCCCGAAGAGCTAGCCCAGTAACAAGTCATAACCCTCTTGTAGGAATGCAAAGAGGCCCAAGTCGAGCAAGATCAAATGCAGCAATCCACAATGCCCAGCTTAGGAATGCAAAGTCAACCAAAGCAGGCCCAGATTTCAGGCCACAAGAAGCAGCCCGTCACCTCTCCTGCAAGTAAACAGCGGAAACCCAAAACCGCATCTCCCTTTGTATCCTCTTCGAAGCCCAGCCCAGAAGCCTAAACTATGCTCCCAGCGAACTAGGGTTTGCAGTAGGTCAGCCCAAGATGCAAAGCCCACCATCGCTATGCCTCAGCGCCGCAGTGGAAGGGGCGAAACCGTCCTAGCTACAGTACACCGACCAGACAACTCAAGACATCAGGTCCAATCAAAACAGTCCATGTCATCCCTGTCGTTGACCGTCTCAAACATCCCGCCGGCAATTTTACGGCCGATACCCCTGCACCCCAAATCAATTACTCCGTAATTTATTTATAGAGGATGTGTAATCATTTTTAACCATTTTACACTCCTAAAAATGGTTTCATTTTTAGCTGAACTGTCACACCAAACATAGCCTTTATATATATCATTATATGGGTTGCAAAAAGATTTTGTTAACTTGATATTTATTGAACAAAAGTAAATACGGAGTACTTTCTTAAGCATCAAGACTCATATTTTGCTCCAACGTACAAGTATATAGTTCTATTTCAGTAGAGATTTAATACAGTAGCACTCCTTATTTTACATAACAATGTGTAGAAAAGTTACACCAACTATATATCACCAGTGTTATACGAAGTATTACAAAACCCCATTAAGAATGGGAAAACTAACAAGATGAGTAAAATAATAACACTATAGAACTACTTGGAATGTTTCCCCACCACTACATGATTCTCGCTGCCCGTAAAATTCTTTCGCTGAGTCGTACTTGCAGTAACAATGGGCATCCACAAATCGGAAGTGGTGCTTAAGAGAGACATGACCTGTGGATCGTTCACCATTGCTGAGGAAACCATATTGTCTACATCCTTTAGCTTTGATGATAACTTATCCAACTCATTAGCAATCTCCACCTAAAAAGTGGAAATGTAATAAGACTCTCCAACTCATGAGTCATGACATAAAAATTGAATTTTTATCACCTTTAGTTCTCTAAATATTGTGCATATTAAAGTTTTGGTATTTGACTTTTATTTTATTTTTTTGCTTTTTCATTTGGCTATGGAGACAACGAATACAACTGACAGGTACACTTTTGATATATTTGAACTTTATCCATTTAGTATGGAAGTGACACTTTTGATACTAGTTTTTGAATTCCATTACAATAGGTGGACCATGGACGGGTGGAGGACCAAAAGTATGAAAATAATCGAACTGTATGTTGGGGTAATTGGCCCAATATTGGATCGGTCCAATACCTCCTAATGGAGAGGGAATCAAGGGTAACGACCCATAAGGTGCACTCGACGCTCATCGCACTTACCTTGGCCCGCTCGACAGTTGATTGGGGGGCCTTAGCAGAGACGTTCGGGGGTCACCGAGCAGCGTCCTGGCCTTGCGCTTACTTGGACACGAGATCAGGAAGCCTTCGGATATGAACGTCCAAGACAGTTGGCGGGAAAGGAGGATAATGGCGGGAAACACAATACATGCACCAGATATGCAAGATTTGGTGATTGAGAAGGGAGACACTCATGATCCTCCACATCACCACTACCACATATCCCATGGTAGTATAAATAACAGCATTTATTTCATAGTTAGGGGTTGACAACTTGTATTCCCTAGCATTAGCTCTAATTCTCCGTACCACAACTCAGCTAGACGCTCAGATCGGCTAGTCAGTAGAGTGTGTTGTAATTGTTCATTATTGATTAATAAGAACTCAGTCCACTTATTGTCTCCTCTTATTTGCTTAACGTGTGCCACTATACTCATATCATCCACTCACATATCCATCAGAACCCAAGGGAAGGTGTTGGGCCATTTTGAGTCAGAGGAATTAACTTCAACACTGCCAAAGGACTAAAATTGAAAATTATATAGATGGGTACCAAGTGTGTCTATGTCACAACAATTGAAGGACTAAAAGTACAAAATTTCAAAGACAAATAGAGAAAGCGTCATTCACAGAATAGAATTTTTACTTTTAGTCCTTTGACAGTTTTTTCCATCATTTGCAATGGAGCCAAAGATTCATTATTTTTTGGCTTGAGATTATGATGGAATAAAGCAAAATGGCTCACTAAACTGTCTGCACTTCTTTGTTATGAAGCAGCAGTCAGTCCATGCAATTTTGGATGGAATTTTCACTATGGGTCTTCCGGAAACAGTCTTTTTGTGCTTTAGTACAGGGGTAAGACTGCGTACATCCGATCCCCCCTTACCCCACCGTAGGTGGGAGCCTTTGCGGCACTGGGGTAAATGAAAATGATGGAGTCCTTTGACAGTTTGACAGAGGAAAAACTATAAAAATGTTAAAGGAAAACACTCATAATCAAACTAAATATAAAATACTCATTTGATACTCACAAAGGAAGGGGATGCATGAAATTTGGACTCCACGGAATGATTAGTAAGTATACAAAAAGTTACTACATCATGGATTTTTCATTATTTTCATACTTGGTAAGCTTGAACTAATGGCGTAAAAGGCTATTCGAGGATAGGTCATCCGCCTTTGGAATAACCCATGAATTCATATTTGACAAACTATGAAATTCCTCCAATATGGGAATTAGGCAAGAATTATTCCCAAGGATGACAAACCAAGCTGTAAAGAGTTAAAGGCTCACCTCATCAAGATTATGTGCTGATTTTGAAGGAACCTTAGTGACTTCCAGACCCAGGGACTGTATCTTGGCACATAACTCCACTTCTTCTTGATTAGATAGAGACTCAACCTGCATAAGTTTGTTTGTTACAAAAACCTTCTCTGGATGAGGATTGGTGCGCATTTAGCGCCTGTTTTGTGGGGTAATTTTGGTTGAAAAGGTCAAATGGACTGAAGGCATTGATGGAAATAACTTGTCCCCTCCTTGTTATTATTGGTCAATTCCGTTAATACGCTGAAAGGTGATATGCTAAAAAAATGAACGGCTCAAAACGAGAGTTGACCATTGCAATCAAAGAATGTAAAACATGATTCTTTGACTTGTGATCTATATTAAAACCCACCAACATTGGTCGTTCTATGCATGGGAAAGGAACCCCATTCCTGAGGCCACATACCTAACTATCCTGACTTTCCTAGTTCCTAAAATTTATTGGGGAAGAACGAAATGAGACCTTCTTCACTTAAATTATTGATGGAAGTAACTTCTCCCCTCCTTGTTATTATTAGTCAATTCAGTTAATACACTGATAATATGTTGAAAAAATGAATGGTTCAAAACGGGCAGTTGACCATTGCAATCAAAGAATGTAAAACATGATTCCTTTGACTTGTGATGTATCTTTAAAACCACCAGCATTGGCCGCTTTATGCATGGGAAAGCAACCCCTTTCTGAGGCCAAATAACTAACTATACCTGTAATACCCGAGATTAATTTAAGAGGATTAATAGTACTACTCATACCAACAGAGGTGCATCTCCTTTTAAGGGAGCTCATCACCCAAGAACTCCAAAGTTAAGCGTGCTTGCACGGGAGTAGTCTTGGGATGGGTGACCCCCTGGGAAGTTTCTCAGGGCGCGCATGAGTGAGGACAAAGTGCGTGGTAAAGGCTCGTGGTGGTTTGTGGGGACAGTACTAGAGGTCTAGAGTAACTACCTCGGGTCCGTGTGGGGCCCCGGGGTGTTACAGGTGGTATCAGAGCAACCCTGCGACAGTGTGCTGACCCGTTGGATATCGGGCGGTCACTTAGCGGGGCAAGATTCTGGGGGTTGATTGAGATTGGTTTAAGGGCGCAACGAGGACGTTGCGATCCTAAGTGGGGGTGATTGTAATACCCGAGATTGATTTAAGAGGATTAATAGTACTACTCATACCAACAGAGGTGCATCTCCTTTTAAGCGAGCTCATCACCCAAGAACTCCAAAGTTAAGCGTGCTTGCACGGGAGTAGTCTTGGGATGGGTGACCCCCTGGGAAGTTTCTCAGGGCGCGCAGGAGTGAGGACAAAGTGCGCGGTAAAGGCTCGTGGTGGTTTGTGGGGACAGTACTAGAGGTCTAGAGTAACTACCTCGGGTCCGTGTAGGGCCCCGGGGTGTTACAATACCGACTTTCCTAGTCTCGAAACCCTATTGGGGGAGAAAGAAATGAGACCTTCCCTTAAATTGAATTGCTATGAAATTTGAACTCTCATTTTTGGTAACAAGACTTTTGGTTGCTTTATTCCCTAACAATCAAGATTTTTACTTAAAAAGCTGATCTCAAGCTTTGCTAGACTAGACTTGGACCTGCCCCAAGAATAATCCAGGAATGGCCTGTCTCAGAGTAAACTCATGACGTTTGATGCTATTCAAAGAGAGTGGTAAGATTTAAGCACAAATCCACTCGTGTCACGCATCAAAGCTCAAACCAAGAGAAGTTGTATCAATTATAGAAGTATAGCACTACAAAGAAATCGTAGCTTGTAGCATCAAATTGAACTTACGGGTGGCATATGAGAGGATCTGATTTCAATCGCTTTCACGGTTTACAAGTTAAAGAGATAATCGAAGGAGGACATATGTAACATTTCAGCAACATATATGCATGTATTGATGGGTATACCTCCTGAAGAAGATCGGTCAACAGACCGAAGAATTGTGAGTCAGCCGTTGCCAACGGTGGCAATGAAGGCGGCGGAAGTTTCCCTTCACCAGGCATCTGGATCTCGTTTCCATCTTCTGCAAACAAACAAGGCCTAATTATCATTCTTTTCCTAATACTCCATCCGTCCCGAATTGAATTTCAAACTTTGACCGTCACAAGGATTAAGGAATGACAATAAATGATGCTTACTTTTTACACTTTTGCCCATCTTTCTAAAAGTAGATGTCTTTAAGTTAATGGGGAAAAAGTAAAAGTAAGGGTAAATTTGTCAATTTATTCTTATTCACATACCTAAAATAGAAAGTGAAAAATCATTTTGGGACAACCAAAAAAGGAAATTTTGCAAATCAAATTGGGACGGAGGGAGTATTTAAGAGAAAAATAATAAAAGTACTCATGATAAATACTCAAAAAAAATCCTAATAAAAGGCCTAATGATAAATACTCAAATTAGCATATCTAATTTATATACTTCCAACTTTAAAATTATTTTCGCATCATTGTCATATACGAAGTATTATTTTTTCAAAAATGTAAATTATGAGGTTAATTGCATAATTTAAAATATCAAATTAAAAGTGTTGCAATTATATACATAGTAAATATTGTTGGTCCCGGTTATACTGGATACAGTCTAGAGGGGGGGTGAATAGACTGTATTGGTTTTTAGCTTTTTAAACTAAGTACCAGATTTACAGAATAGCCTGTTCTGTTGAAAGAACAGACTGGCAGCGGATGGGGTTCTGGCAGGGAGTTCTGTTAGCCTCAGAGAAGCAAAGGCAGAAGGCCTTCTGTTAACTCGTAGAACCAGTTCTGCTGAACACAGATACCAAGTCCAAGGAGTTATACAGTTCTATCTAAGTGCAAGTATTAAAAGCAGTAAGTAAACGACACCAGGGATTTTTATAGTGGTTCAAGGAACAACTCGTTCCTCTAATCCACTGTTCCACTAAGCTGTAAAAACTGCCGTTTACAAAGCCTTAGTCCTAGCACTTAAGAAGCACTCCACGTCTTCTTCAAGCCTAGATGTGTCCTGGGATGCACTGCCTGGCTTCCTTTAACACTGGTCCTTTCACTGAGTCTCCTTGAAGTATCACCACTTCACTACTCCAGTTATTTGGACGTCCTTCTTGTAGCAAGAAGAGTTTCGGTTGAAACTGAGGTTCCTCCAACTAGCTTCGTTACAAAATATGTGTATGTGAAGAGCTTGAAGAGTTGAAGAACACTTGGAACTTTGCTTGAGTTGGAAAGAGTATTTTTCCAACTTCTGCCTTCTCTTGTAGAGGATAATGAGTTTGAATCTCAAGGAGGCTTTTGCTTATCAGAGTTTGAATGTCTTGCTTGAAGAGTTGTAGCAAAGGTTAGCAAAAATTGCAAAGTTATCCGGTTGTTCTTCGTAGTGTATCTTTTATACTGAGGTTGTCTTCCCGTTGGAGGAGTAGGAGGACAACTGCATTTAATGCGCGAGCAGTTGACTTGACCAGTAGGACCCGGTAAAGTTGGCGGGTTACTATTTCGGGATAAAGTAATCCTGACATTGCGGCCAATCATCTGCAATTACTCCACGGAGCATGGGGAGCATTAAATGAGCATTTAATGCGAGCACTGTAGCTTTTCCGTTTCATACTCCTAGCCGTTGAAGGAATCTTTTAAGTTGACTTCCCGGCTTTGTGGATTTCTTCCAAGTGTCAGACCTTCTGGTGTCATTGGCAGAGAATTGATTCAGAGAAGATCATGAGCACTTCTGTTGTTGAAAGCTTACAGAGAACCAGGAGGGTTTCTGTCACGCTAAAGGGTAACAGAGACCCTGACGTTTTCTGTTCCTAGACAGAGAACCAAGATCTTCTGTCTGGAGGACTTCTGGTAGAGAGGCCTTCTGGTAGTCGAATATGCTAAGAACTTTACAAGGGAAAATTCTAATACATAATTTCTAAAGGGGTACTCTACAGTCCTAGTTAATATAGCATCATCAAAACCTAAATACAATTATTCCTTACAATTTCCCCCTTTTTGATGATGCCAAAACCCTTTAACTATTTCCAGAGAAGTGCCTTCACCATAAAAATTTAAAGTTTAAAACTTTTCATTAAGATCTTGGTGGGCAACTTGGCATAGGAAAATAGTAAGAGTACGATACATTCAGATAGCAGATAAATTATCACAAAGCAAACAAACAAACAAACAAACAAAAAGTAAGGAAAAGCCAGAGATTGAGGAATTGCCTTACAAAGTGTGAGGCAGAGATGTTCTTTTTATTAAGGTGGATTACAAGAGTGTCTGATTACATAATAGCCTTGGTTGCTTCAGCTTTTGCTTGTTCATCCAGTCCTTGTAGTCTTTTTAGTTCAGCATTCACCTCTTTTCTGATTCTAGCCAGATTTCCAGTTCTTTGGTAAGAGGCCCAGACAGGTGAGAGTTTGCAGTCTAAGTAGTTAAGAACACCTTCATGGATATCTTTTCCTGGTACTATACTGTTGTGAAACCAGAATTCTGCTTCCTCCAGAGATCCACCATGTCTGACCTTCACTTGACCATCATGGTCCAAATATAGATTCTGTTGTTGAGTAGAGGTCATCTTCTGCTTCATTTCATCAAATTGTGTAGCAGTCATCACCTGAGAACCTCCCATTCTCCATTCTTTAAAGCTTAGAGCTTTCTTTTTCTTAGATCCTTTCTTCAGTGGGGATGGAGGTCTAGGAATACCAGCTAGCCTTTTCTTCTGAAGGGCAGCCTCAAAGTAAGGTGTGGGATCCACACTTGGTTCAGCAGATGTTGAGGTTCTGGTGGTCTTGGGTTTTGGTAGATGAGGGCCTTCTTCCCCCTATTTGGCATCATCCAGGTCAGAAATCATCATGGCAATTTTCTGGAACTCTGTTGCCTGGGAGATGGCTATCTGCTCAAGAGCTTCTGGCAAGGTCTGCGTGACTGAGGTCAGACCTTCTATTAAGTTCTGTTGACGATCAAGAGCAGATTTGATGTCCTGAGAACCAGCTTCAAGTTGTATCAGCTTCTGATATCTTTCTTGATCCTTCTTGATCAGGGTGGCCACTTGATCTTTGTGATCATTATTCAGGAGTTGTAGCTGCATAAACTTCTCAGCAGATTGGTCTTCATACCATTGTACAATGTCAAGGGATTCTGTTATATCCTTGAGTTGCTTGTTCTGCTTATTGAGAATCTGAGACTGGGAGTAAGAACAGAGTGGACACCATCCACTTCTCTGGCAACAGCATTAAGCTTTGCAGATGATGATTCCATGAAGGTGACCAGTGTCTGGGTCAGAGCTTCAACCTTCTCTGAGAGGTGCTGAAGTCCAGCCTCAAGATGATTGTGAACAAAGGTGAGATGTTCATGGTGCTTGGTGTTGATCTCAGCTAATTGATCCATGCCATCAAGCATTTTACCACCAAAGTCTTCAGCTGCAGTGACAAACTGATTGAAGGAGATTTGGGGCTTATCTTCTTTGGATTCTGGTTTACCGGGCATACCTAGACCTCTTGATTTAGGCATAGGAGGCCTTCTGGGTTGTTCTTCATGCTGAGGAGGGTCTTCCTCCTCTTGGAAGTTTCATCAGCAGCAATGGAGGATGTAAGAAATCCATCATTGTCACTGGAAGAGGAGGGCACCCTGAAGAGGTTTTCTGATGGGGGTAGAGGCCACAGAATGTTGAGGAGAGATAGGTGTGGCTGCATCTTGTGGTGAAGGTTGTGGAGAAGCAGTATTGGATTTGTTGATGGAGGGGTTTTCTTGTTGTGAGGGAGCATTCTGTTGTTGTGGAAGAGAGGGTGGAGGTGACGGTGATCTGGATCTGATTGAGGGTTGGGATTTGCAGGGAGATGGATTTTTGGTTTTTGGTGAGGAGGTTTTCTGTTGGGGTGAAGTTGTAGGGGAGATGATCTGTTGGTGTTGATAAGGGATAATTTGTCCTTGAGGGGATGGGGATTTGTTCTTGGGAGGAGAGAACGGTTTGCAGGGTGAAGGAGGTGGGGATTTGGATTTTGAGGGTTTCAGGGGTGTAGAGGTTTTCTGTGGAGAGATGGTTTTCTATGAGGGTGAGGGAGAGTTCTGTTGAGATTGGGGTGAAGTGATTTTAGGAGAGGGAGGGGGAGAAGGAATGATTGTGGGAATTACCTCTAGTACAGTTTCAGTGAACAGAGAGTCTCTCCATTCTTTGATAAGTTTTTCCATGACCAGAGGTAGGTCATTGGCAGTAGAGGGTTCACCTTCCCCATGTGCACTGTGTCGAAACTTGATCATTGACTCCTTCCTCTTCTTCTCAACTAACCAAGCATCAAAGGCGTCCATCTCATGCTCTTGAAGAGCCTTCACATGGTCTTCTGGTGAGTTTCTGACCAGAGGTGCTTTGCCTTGAAGTTTCTCCTTCTTCTTCTGTAGGACAGAAAGAAGAAAATCCTTGTTTAGACAGGACTCCACATCTTCTGTGTCAGCCCATCTGAGTACTTCTTCTTCTTCAGAGATGAAGTAGGACAAGTTCTTGAGGAGTTCAGTGAGAGGTCCCACTCTCCACTTTCTCCATGCCAGAATCCTGATGAATTTCCTATCAGGGCTAGAAGTATTGCTTCCTTCTTGGTGTTCTGGTGAAGGAACCACCATAGGTTGATCATTTTCAGAGGCAGGAGGAGAAGAATGTAGTTCCCCCTGAGAAGTGGCATTCTTCACAACTTCTTCTTCTTCTGAGTCACTTGACTCAAAGATGATCCTCTTGCCGTGCCAAGCATTTCTGTTGACTGGGACAGAGGGGACAGAGTCCTCCAGCTTCTCCTGTGCTGCAGGGGTCAAAATTTTGGTCTTCTTAGCAATGGGGGAGGCAGAAGGGGTGCTTGCTGAAGAGATAGGTGAAGGAGCCTTTCTCTTAAGGACAGATTTCTTTGCCACCAGCTTGTGGACTTTGACAGGTGTGGTCTTTTTCTTGGGAACCTTCTTGATCACCTTCTTTACCAAGGGTATTTCTTCTTCAGAGTCAGAAGGGGTAGGAGGTTTCTGTTGCTTCTTTGAAACTTTCTTTGGTTGAACAACCT